GAACTCAAATAAAACCTCGCCGAAAGTAATTATTGAATGTGTTATCGTTGCGCGATCGCGCGTTTCTTACGGATGCGTCGCGCGCTTGATAAAGGTCGATTTAGATCGCTGTTGGAAATATTTTCTTCTAATTTACGACTTGCTCGTAAAGATCGTCGTTGTGGGGTTCATTAGATGAGAACGTAGCGGCGATTTCAGAGGACCATTAAGGACGAGGGCAGCAGTTAGAATTAAAATCGGCGGCGGCGCCCATTAAAACCTTCGTATACTCGTTACGGACGCGTTTAGACTTGGGTCGGTCCTTTTGTAACTTGCGCACGGTTAATCGGTAGTAGCCGTGAGGAGAAGCCGCCCGTCGTTACAAGAATGGAAATCTTTTTAATTGCAGTTTCTCGCCTGATGTGTTTATTAAAGAGCGATTCCGAATACGTAACGTTAATCGAAAGCTCTCTCGGCTCATTACTCCGGTCGATGCTTTTAACGTGGCCATTAGCAACCGTAGACGTCCGTACATGGTGGAACATTTGCATTTCGTCCTGTTGGCCTGCCAGAAGGTGATCCTTATCGAATCTGAGCGAAATACTAATTGGTAAATTGCTGGATGAATAAAAAAATAAACTAAATAAGGAGCTTTTTTAAATTCTTGAAATTCTTCGAGACGCCATTATCCCGGAATATTGGACAGCTTAAAAAATTAAATGCAAATTGAACTAATTCAATCTAAATTTTATGCAAAAACGATCCGAGGGAAAGGGGGGAAAACTTTCGTAATGGGAAACCAAGCTTGTGTAAGCGGATTCATTTAGTCTATTCAATCGACTAAAAGCGGTAAATCTAAAAGAGGACATTGTTTCAACTTCTCGTCTCTATACATTATTCATTAAAACGTAATGGATTTTAACTTTTAAGAAAGATCATCTTGAACGATAAGGATTTCTTTAAGAAATCAATTTGTTCTCAAATTTCACATAAATTACTTTTTAATAGTTTCATAAAATTCTAGAAAACTATTGGGTTAGATGGCACACTGAGACAAAGTGGTAAATTGAGATCACACTCGAATCAGTTGCATAAGACACCATTATCTTTCTATTCACAAACTTCACATCAGAAACTTTTCATTTTGTAAACACATGTGAGCCTAAATAAAAATCTCATCTTCTCATCGAGATACTGATCTTTCACAGTTTTTAAATCTTTACGATGTCTTTCGTCATGTTTATCGCTTACTGCACCTAAATTTTCAAGAATTCTGTCAAGATGACTAAGAAATGAAGTTTAGTATTTATGTTGAACCTTAAGCCGTTTGTGATTTTTTTTTTCTGTCTTTTTTTCTGTATTTATCGTGTTGATGAAATTTGCATGCCAAAGAAATTCGAATTTGCGATTCAATGAATAAACTCTCCTCAATTCTTTAATGACTATATCGTTTCAAATTAAAACGCTGAAGCTATTTACAAAGATTCACGGAAAAAAAATTGGCGTCTCCGGTTGGCTTAGCTAACAAAATAGTTGTTTTGTTGACCTTACCAAAGAATTTGATCAAGTAAAACATCCCGATGTTGTGAGACTCCTGGAAAACAGAAAAAGAAAAGTACATCCCGATATAATAAATGTGCTCATGGAGCTGAACACCAATAACCAGACCAGAATAAGAACAGAGAAAGACGCGAGTACCCATACAAACAGGCATGGAGACAGTCTAAACCCCGCACTCTTCAACATTGTCATGGACGAAATAATAACTAGCGTGAAAAGAGTTGGAAAAGGTTATCAGTTAGGAATCGAAATAGTAAAAATAGTTTGCTATGTGAACGATGCTGTCCAATTATTAGCGGATGAACATAATGCTATATGGATGCTGTACCAATTTGAAAAATCAGCAACAAAACTTAACACGAACATCTCGGTGTCAAAAACAAAATCTCTAACTATAGCAAGGAAGCCAATCCGTTGTAAATTGGCAGTATACAACAAGTATATAGAACTGTAGTAGTATCAATATTACTGGTACCAGGTACGTCCAAGAAGGAGTTATAGCTCATACATCGAAAGGATCATATGAGGTAACCTGATATTTACCTAAGCGACATAATATGTCAAAACAAGTATATGACTCAAGAAAGCAAGGCCCGTATATATAAACCTGCTGTGACATACACGACAAAGACAAGAGTAGAACATGTTATCACAAAAAGAATCACACAGAGCTGAATATGCTAAGGTCAGGTTAACAGGATATACCTTGTAGGACCACAAATGAAGTGAGGATATCAGAAAGATGCGATTCCCAGCACTCTGAAACCATGCTAACTTTTTCACCTTCAGTGAATTGTTTCTTTTGTACTTAGCTATTAACGTTTTTTTTCCATTGAATTTGTCCTTAATTGTTAATTTTTCTCCGAGAGAGTGTTCGATCGTGATTTTGAACCCCTACATTAGCTAACACCACCAAATTTAACTTTAACTTTAACTTTAACATTCTAGTTAGGAACTGTCTTTACTACAACAAACTACAATGGCGCGAAATGTGCCTAATCGTTCGCATCTCGTCTTTGCCAAATTTGCTTTCCTTCGTTTAAAGTGTTCAAAGGTCCTCGAATTTCAGTCGATTGAAGTATAGGGAGATTTCTAAATGTCATTTTAAGTTTTGAATCCCTTTTATTGCTGCGGAATAGATTCGTTATGTTTGAACTTCGTAAATACTTCTTTGTTTCGGATTGGTAATGTCTTTCCGAAGTGACTTTGATCGAAGGTACAAGTTGTCTATTTGTGACGTTTCGAATACTAGGTGGAGGTGATGAAGAGGAAATTGGTGTAGATAATAATGTCCTCCAAATATGAATTTTATACTATTTAAACAGGACTTCTTGTGCCATTAGTTACAAATTATCTGGTACTCTTTTAAGTTCAAAAGTAGGTTTAAAGTGATATATTGCTTCGTGTGGTATAATGAATGCTGACGTCTGATGATGGTGATGGCAATTCTTCCTATATTGGAACGAAATATTCATTGGGAACAACCAGTGTCTTTGCAAAAATGCTTACTTAAAGGTATCAACACAACTTTAGAGTATCTTCTACATGTTTCTAATATAATTGACGACTCTGTATATATTTATCGTTAGGTATTTCAATTTTGACATATATTATAATCCACTTTTCGTTTGTCTCTTTTATATGGATGTATTTTAATTGATTCAAAGGAAATATGCTTCATGCACTTAATTTTTGAATGATATACTAAGTTATTAATTTTTTTGACGATATATATCTCTATGTAACTTATCTCAAACCCCAAAAAAGCTTAACGAAAAAGAAACTCAAATACAAAGTAATGTGACCCCAAAGGAAGCCAATCAAACTCCAAAGCACCTCGACCACAAAGTAACCCAACCCACCTACAAACCAACCCAACCTCAAAGTAACTTATCCATAAAATAACCCAACCTTAAAGTAAGTCAATAAGACTTCAAAGAAACTTAACAACAAAGTAACCCATTTCCAATACAAGACCAAGCATAGTCAATTATTGGTATTTCTTGAGAAAGTCTTTATGTATAGCAGTTATAGTTATATTAGATGGAATCCATTTTACGTGTTCATTGAATTCGGCATCACAATATATTTGCTGGAGTTGAAACGTCACTCATTGTACATAATAACATAATTTCTTGTATTCCAGCATAGTTAGGAGAAACATATTGCAAACAAACTACCTAACACCAGCTATTAGAGTCAGTAGTTCTTCATTTGATATCTAATCTCTGACATCTATTTATTATAAAAAAATTTTCGTTCAAGCCACTCCATATCACAAAGTTCACGAATTTTGCACACAATTTGTTGAATTGCTAAGTTTTTCTGTCTTTTTTTTTTTATTTCATGATTCATAGATTTCCTCTTTCATATCAAATACCTTTTATCCGGTAGATCTAACATAAAATCCACAAGAAATTCTTTCCCATTAATCCAAAATGCAGTGCTTTAATCGATGAAATTCAATTTCCTTGTCACGACACATTATGGCTGTTTTGGTTCAAGAGTTCTGTAGTTCCAAACAGTTCTGAACCGTTCTGCTCATACGTGTAATATGCAAGATGTATGCGCAGAAAGGTTCAGAACAATACGGAACTACAGAACTCTTGAACCAAAATAGCTCTATTGAGAATAATCCGGTTATGTTCCTATTATGGATTAGCAATTTTTCTTCATCATCAGCAAAAACAATCGATTTTATGTGGACTTGAACAAATTTTCACGTAAAAAAAATTAAAGACAAAAACTATCCTGTAGCTAAAGGTGTTTCAAAGTAGGTAATAAATTAAAGAGATTTATGCTTAATAGGGTGCTTCACCTCTTTAAAGTTAATTTCCGTACAGGAAAAATATTGTTATGTCTACACCTTAATACCTTCTATGTTTATACTAAATTTAATTTTTTTTTGTACTTGCCACTTGGGAGTAGGGGTGTCATAATAAGATTTTAACAAAAGCTTAACATTTAACGGTTGGCTCACCATAGTAAATATGAGAAATTTTGCCACAAATTTATAATGATGTCGTTGTTCTCTGTACCATTAAAAGTATGATGAACAATACAGAAGAATGATAAAGAAAAATCCACATAAAAAATAAATCCCTCGGCGCCACTTAAAGAGTAACAATTTTCTCATAATTATAACCAAGTTAAGGCATCTTCTTGTCGACCTCGTTCCTTTTTCCTCATGGTGTCGATTATCCAGCGAGGTGGTTATTTCAACGGCACGTCCACAAATTGAACCCGTTGTGTACCAACTTCGTCGTTAATAAGCCAGATGATTACTGTTATTACCTTCTCTTACAACCGTGCCGGTGTAACACAAGATGGCATCTTGAAACGGACACGTGTGTATACACAATATAACCGTTTCAATTCGTAATTTCTTATTCTACTCTAAATCTGAATAGAAACTTATTTAATATTGATACTAATTTACGATGTATCTCTTTTCATTCCAGCTTGTAACTGTCATCCCATTGGATCATCAGGAAAAACATGTAATCAAATAACTGGACAGTGCCCGTGTAAGGATGGTGTTGTAGGTACGACTTGTAATCGATGCGATAGCGGATACCAACAGAGTAGATCGCAAATAGCACCATGCATTCGTAAGTAATTTTTTTATGAAAATGTAAACGGTATAAAACGGTAAATTATAAATTTTAAGTCGTAGTCGTAAAATGTCTTCAGTACAAATCATATCGTTGATCGTAAAACGGCTGGTTTGATGACTTTTCTTCTTTGAACACGATTGAAAGATGACGCGCTGTTATGGAAATCATAATTCTTATCTCCTCTTTATGCTTAGAAATCTACTTATTGTTAACACCGCTTAAAGTGGCTTTCAAAGAATTAATTCATTCCAAGCAATGAGGATGTAAGAAGTATAATTCTTCGTACAAATAACAATGTTTTAATTTTTACGGTTAAAGAGAAAGTTGAAATTTTCATTTTAATAAAGCTACTAAAACAAATCTTAATAAAATCTACATTTTCTCTTCATTGCTTCTCATTTCTCTTGGAGGAAAAGAAGAAAACGAAATTAACACAAGATATACAGGTTGTAGAGTCAGTAAAGTACTTTTATAGGGGCCTTTTTCGCGCCGTACGAAGGCTCAGCATGCAATCTTAGTATATTATCGACACCGAGCGAGAGTAATTTTATGGAGCTTCGGTCTTAGAGAGCGTCCCAAGTAATTTGATATCGCAAAAAGCACTTTACACTCCACACTACCAACTTTACTAAGATATATTAGTTCCCGTTTCTTTCTTGTAATAGTTTTATTAATTTTTTTTGAAGGAATACCTGAGGTTATAATGGGAAACCAACAACATGACGACAACGACTACCGACCGGACACCGATTCCGGGCCCGCAGGGGGTAAGTAAGTGCTTTTGTGTTTTTGTTTGTTCTTAGAGTTAGTACCCCTACGGCTCTTTTAAATTAGCCCCTCTTTACCAAAACCAATTTTTCAATCCCCTTCATTCAATTACAAATTTTGCGTGCCAGACAAACTTTTCAATAAATTTACAAAGTTTCTTCATTCTTGTTTAAAATCCAAACCGCGTCGTTGTAATTGCTGGGAAGTAATAAAACTTGAAACAGAAAAGTTCAAAAACCAATAATTGAAATTTGCACAAAATTGATTTTTAAATCATCCCGCAAAAAAATTTAAACTTTAAAAAGCTTCCGTCACCCTCTCTCTATGTAATTTTGTTGTATTGTGCACCCGTTTGTTTACCAAAAACTAAAATCCGCGCACGTTGTGTGTGCATTATCTGTTAATAATTAATAACGGTATTGGGGGGTGCGTAAGCGCGTCCCTCTTTTTGCGGGGTCGCTACCCTTTGTTCATCCAAACCCGGGGGGGAAAACTGCAAAACCGGGAGGTAAATGCACCATCACCGCAATCGACCCGTTCCGTAGTTCTCTTTCGTCGCGATATCCTCCCAACATCCTCGTCATATACTCGCCTCACCCCCTTGATCCTTCCGCCCCCAACGGCACGACTGCCGGGCCCATATGGGGTTGGAATTAATTACTCGGTTCGCGAAACCCTATTGATAGATCTCTGCCCGTTTCGTCGTATTAGGACGGACCTGGAAACTGTTACACGACGTGTCCGAAACCTGTGTGCCAGTTCTAAGTCTCTTAATAATGATTTATGGGAAGGGTCGTAAAGTTTATTACCACATCCTAATTAGTGGAGTAACAAATTATACACAAATTGAGGGACTATGTTGAAAAGAAGTTGATGATCAATTGGAATTGGATTAAATTAAAAATTTCAGATTTATATCGTGTTGTTGAAAATTTTTCTTTAAATTGTTTTTATAATAAAATTAAATTAATGTATGAAATTCGATCACACAGAGCTTTATAAAATATGTCAACAATTCAATATTGCACAAATCTATTTGTAAATTCCTGATGATGAAGAGTAGCCGCAGAAACTAGTAATTACTTTAGATATTGGAGTAAAATATAATAATAATAATAGTAATAATATATTCCTTATATATCTGATTACTACATTAACCAACTGATAACTTGCTGATGAACTGGCGATGCTTGATGTAGTATTCTGAATTAATTACCACAGGATTAGAATAGCTAATCTGGGCAAATAATGCTTTAAGTTCTACAAGAACTAATCTAAGCTTTTAGTTCAATCACACGTTCTCTGTATGTATGGAGTAGCAGGTCTAAGGTCTTTATCAGCTACTTTGACTATGATCTCCGGCTAAGTTATGCAGAAGATTTTTGAAATGACTACTATGAAGCATGTCACTTACGGAACCTACATTTCAGAGATCTACTAGACGAACAACATTGAGTCATTCTGATCTTTGAAAAAGCTTTTTTGAACCCCGAACAGTTTCCTCACAGTTGTAAGAAAACTTTGAGCTCTGAAAGATGTAGAACTAATAATAGCAACGCGTAAGCCCAAATAGGAATTCTGGAAATGTAAATTTGTATATCAGTATACAGTGGAACCTCTCATAACGAGCATAATTCGTTCCAGAATCTTACTCGTAATGTGAAATACTCGTTAAGCGAAACAACGCACAACCGAGTGACGAGAATAAGGGATTTCCCCTATGCGTGTCACTCGTTATGCGAAATATCGATCGTTAAGCGAGACAATTTATTTTACTCGTTATGTGAAATACTCGTTATGAGAGGTACTCGTTAAGCGAGGTTCCACTGTATACTGATATACAAATTTACATTTCCAGAATTTCTATTTGGGCTTACGCGTTGTTATTCTTAGTTCTATACAAGCTACTCTATGCAACAGTTTTTTTCATAAAACTGTTGCAAAATGAATTTTGCATCATTTGTAATTCATTAATCAGTACCAACTAGCCTTGAAGCATAAGAATACAAGTTAGTACATTATTATCACAATGGAGGGTGCCCTTCCAAACACGTATTTTTAACACATTACATAGCATAAAATTAGCCACTGCAATTAAAAAGTACTACAAAAAGTGAATTAGCCAGTTAGCCAATGTGCAAATCTTGTGATTCGTGGTGTACTGTGTTTTGAGAAAAAGCAAGAATACCTTCAAAAGCATTGCCTAATTGTACAAAAAAAGTTTTTGAGCTCTGCTATGTGTGGAGAGATAGAATTTGAAGAAAGGGATACATAAGCATCAGGGAGAAGATTTCCAGAAGGAAATTGATAGTGTAGTTCAATATTATTTCTTCAATCGACAAGTCCTTGATTCAACGCAGCAGAGACTGTCAAAAGTGATTTTGAAAATCTAAACAATAACATAAGAACATAATAAGTTCTTTGCAACTTCTTATAGTTAGGCTGGAGATCGACTTTTAATTTAGTTGAGTTGGGATATAGGAAATAACTCCTTGCACTGCCTAAACTGCAAAGCATTACTGGTAGAGAGCAAGCCCATAAAATATATGTTAAGAGTCCGATCTGATATACTATACTACTATTAACTATCACATATATCTTATATCATTATATCTTACATATATATATGTTATGTCCATGTCTTCAAAGTGTCTCTGAGTTGCCTCTAAACAAACAACTGTAATTTCTCCCAGCTAGCTCAGAGTATATCTCTAGTTCCACAGTTTCTCTTTGAGCTCTGGCGAAGCTATTATATGCTCTATCTCTTTATATCTATATTCTTAAAGTCGCTTTTTGGGTATGACATTTACTTGCCTTCCGATATCTTAGTTGGTTCCCCAGAGAATAAATTCGATCTATTTACTCTCTGAACATACCTGATCTCTGGTGCAAAAAGAGACATTTTCCAAAAACAAGCAATGCAAGAAATGTGGGAAGCAGAAAGAAGACAAGCTATGCCACTTATTTTAAGAAATGTTGTCTTTATTTCTCACAACTTATACTATGACAATACGCTTAACAAATAGACTGTCAATATTTAAAGATTTCAAAGTGACTAAATCATAATCGTCAGAAAAACTTAATAATACACGACCAAGTTATCGCCTATGTATGATAAAACCAAAACATGATTTATTAATGATTGACGGAACGATTGACTAGCAGCAGGAATAGATCGCTGCATAAAGCCTTTTGACCCTCAAAACTGACAGGAAAGTCTCTGTATAATTTGTTACTGTCTCAATTACTGACACTCATCAAATACTGGTAACGTTACATTACGACGTACTAAGTACTAAGTTGCATAAATAGCATAAACTCCAGCTTCCCCAATCCTTTTCCAGTCCTTAATCATCTCAACATTTCTGCTCTCAATAACAATGCTAGCATTCCTTATTTTTCTATTCTAATTTTAATTTCTAACATCGGAAAACTAAAAGATTAAGGGTTTTCGGTTGGTTCTCCTTTTCTTGCTAGGCCATTTTTTCTCGTTGAATCGTCTTTCAAATATGAGGTTTTGTTTGCAACTGGATGAGCTTAACACCACTAGCCATACACCATTAGAAATAGATCGGAGATAGATCTACCGTGTTCATCTTTGCGTATATAGCAACCCAACTGTGGAAAAGGAATAAAAAAGTTACTCATTTTTGAAAAGTGAATTCTTATCATTTGTGAGTTAAGACAACGGAACGGTTGGTAAATTTTGCTTTGCAGTAGTAGGAAGAGTTGATGTCAAAGGATCATAAAGCGATTTTGTTATGAGCTTGGCTACCATTAAACTGTTAGCTCAATGGTTATCTTTCTTATATTTCTTGCTAATAATCCGGTTAAATATTTGGCTTTGGATTGAATTATCAAAATGATACAATTTTATATGATTTATCAATAATATGTACCAAGATAAGGCTCATAATTTATTTAAAAACAGGTTTCATATACTATCAAGTTCATTTATTATAGAAGTAAATTAATAATAACCGAAGTTTCAGCGTTATCATGTTTGTAAATATAGCCTATTTGGTTTTATTTTAAAGCATTTTTCGTATAGATTTAATTTTTTCAAAGTTTTTAAATCTAACTTTTAAATAAACAGATTTTTCTAAACGATAAGGACAAAAATTAGTGTATTTTTAATGAGAAAAAATGTTCGTCACGCAACGATCCACACTGATAAATCTCCCGGTTAATCACGAAAGCAGTTACGAAATAGAAAAAGGAGTCGTAATTTATCCTGAATATCGATTTCAATTTTAAATTAACGGGCCATATGTATTTACGTGTGCGTTAGCGTGTAATTTACTGGTGACATAACGTTATGACAAAATTTAAGGTTCGTTTACAAATGTAACTTTCTAATTATTGCATTTAAACAAACCCATAAAATGATACAAAATTGATATACATATTTAAGTTAGAAAAAGATGATCTAAACTAACTAAGCAATAATATCTTTTGTATAAAATTGATTTTATGTGAATAATAAAATTTGAGTGGAATTGGCTTTCAACGTTGGACATTTAGAGGTTGTTAAAGAGACGCTGTTGAATGTGAACGGACCTTTACAATAACGATAACTGTCGTCGGGCACGCACTCGACCGTTCCGTGTGCGAAACAAGTCCATTGACAACTTCATAATTACCATCGGCCTAAAAATATTTAACAACCCACACGTTTTGAAAACGCTTGTGCGGTAGGTGACGATTGATATTGATTAAATCGCTTGCCAACAGATTGCTTTTTCTTAACACTTCGTTGACAGATCAAAAAGATAGATTTTCTTTAACGATTTTGTTGAAAAAAAGGTTCTCAAAGAATCTCGCTGACTCATTCACAAAGTCTCACGCAGATTTCCATACTTTGTGCAACGTTCTTTTTCTTGGTCCTCGCCCATGAATTTTCTATAAAGGGTCCTCCATCCGGACATTTTTGTGAATATTAATGCCGAATAAAAAAAAGGACACGACGAATTCCGCAAGGCAAAGCAATTTGGGGTCGCCGC